TCAAATGTGAAAAGAATCATACACCGTGACCAGGATTCGCTTTGCTCTTTGAGTCAGAAGAGCCTACAGTGTTCTAAAGAAGAAGAGTTGCCCAGCATAGCCTGACAGTTCCTTAGTTACCAACGAATCATGTGACTCAGTAGCATGACAATGCTACTGAAGGGCTCAACAGGCCGATTATTCCTTATCTATCTGCAGCTAGACGTGAACTCGGCTGTCTAGGGAGATCTTCAGGGTATGTGGTTTACTACCTGTTTGTGTGAGCAGGAACTTTAGCATCTACATCCCAGCTCCTTCCCCAGATCACGTCTCTCCTCTTAGCACTGAAGTCCCGGCATCTCAGAAGTGTAGCTTTCCAGAACTTAGAGCCTGAAGGTGCCTGGTAAGGCTACAGGTAAATGAGGTCACCATGGAGATTTGGTAGGAGAAAAAAAGGAGCTTGAAATCAGTTACTCTCGGAGGAAGTGTAAAAAGGTATGTTAGGTTTCATCATTTTCAACCACAGATTCAAGCTGTTTCTCTATCGTTCAGTATTCTAGATGCCCTGAAATGTTTGAGTCACAAAAAAAAAAAAAAAACAAAAAACAAAAAACAGTGAATGCATTGTGAATCAGACAAACAGATAGAGCAACCCCAGCTCGGTGACATTCAGCGGACAGGTACAGAAGAACATGGCCTTAGCTACAGGAGGACTGGAGAGGGAGAAGAGACAGAACCAAGAGGGTACAACCATGCCACCCACATTCAATCTCCAGTTTCGTTCTCTGACAACGGCAGGATGAGACAGCTTGGAATCAGCACCATTGAAAGACACAGCTCCACCAGTGTATGCATGAGCTTAAATAGTATTTAAATAAACTCCATTTCTTAAAATGTACAGGACCTCTAAGAAGCTTTTGACCACGAGAAGAAATCCCTTGCATGCTGTCTCAAATGCTTCCCACTGTGACAGATGGAATTTCTGATGACAGTTAAAGAAAATGCTGTGGGGGCAAAGACGAGATAGCACCAAGAGGTTATACAGGACCCGCAGAATGACACTCTGGGCTCCAGGGGACCCGGGTCAGCCTCAGCCCTTCTGGGCATCACATGCCTCTACCATCCGTTCGACTCTACAGAGCAATCCATTTTACCAGCTGTGTGAAAAATAACCCGGCGGACAGTGTTTGGAAAGTCGGTGGCAGAAAGTCTACCTGACAAAGCCAATGGAGCAGACTTATCAGGAGGGAAAAGTGCAGAAAACCAGCACACAACATACAAAGCCAGTCACGTGTGGGAAGGATCACAGTGGAACCGTGGAACGCAAAGACGAAGACACTGGACACACTCTGTGGGATCTTCTCAGTACCCTACGGTACAGTTTCCTGTCATTTTCCCCAAGCCGCAGGCTCAGTACGGAAAAGTGACCCATGCAAAAGCTTTCTGTTCGTTCTATGTGTGAACTTGTGACGTTTTTGGGAAAAACGTATTTTCAGTCATTTGAAAGGAGAAACAAGAGAGCGAATAAAAAGGAATAAAATGGACCTTCAAACCAGGGTAGGAAATCAAATCATTACTTTAACTTCAAATTTTGGCATCAGATACTTTGGTTATACAATACTGTCTCTGTGATTCTGGCTGTTTAACACTAAACATCCAGTTTTAAAAGGTAGGCTTGTTGTAGGTTTATTTATTTATTTTTTTTCTATTTAAGTTTTGACAAAACAGTTCACCATCTCCCTGCACAAACTTGAGAGAGAGAGAGAGGGAAAAAAAAGATAGCAAGAAGGAGAGAGGTGCTTTGCATTTTTTGGCTTTTTTTCTCTTTAATAATATGGAATAATCTCTAGGTCTACAGGAACGAGGACTAGGCGGCTGTTCAGCCTTGGAATGTACATGTTTTGCAGCACAACTGTTGTAGAACTTTCCGCTGACACAGATTGTTCTTTTTCACAAGCATACAGAAGCCTCCTTCCGCCCAGGACTCTTCCGTGGCTTTTCCGGAAGTCAGCAAGAGAGAGGGGGAGTGGAGTCGAGAGCAGCAGGACACACGGAGGGAGGTTTTTTGATTGGCCAAAGAGGTAGATTTGGGGGGGTTGGAAGAGGTTCATTCAGGAGCAGTCAACAGGGAGGGAATTTGGTCCACCCAGAGTGATTTCAGTCAACAGCAGGGTTTTCAAGGAGAAATTTTGCAGTCCAGCAGTAAATGTGATTGGTATCCATTTGTGAAAGGAAAAAGAGATTGTAAAAAAGAATACATTAGAAATCAATAATATCACAGGCAAGAACTTTTCTTTTCAGAAGTATCTAGAGCAGAAAATACATGGCCATTTGTACCATATTTCATTGACTCTAAGACACAAGGTTTAAGGTTCACCCTTATTTCAGGATCACAGAGGTAATAAGACTCACACTATGATACCGTGCTCTGGTAGCAACCGGAACTTTAATTTTATTAACAGCGTGTGATATAACGCTCTGCATGTAGTTCTTTGGTATTGCTCGTTTGAATGGTTGTTAAATGACACATGAAAACCAGGAGGCCTCAAGCTTCATTCAACTGATGCACATGTCTGTGGCTAAGTCTCCGGTCCAGGCAGTGACATTTAAACCCCATCAGATATATCTGTTCTGTCACGCTAAACTGCAAAAGGATTGTCTTAGAATCATGGAAACATGACAGTTGAAAAGGAGCAGGCAGCAGTCTGTAAGAGCATTTGCCACGTAACTGAAGGCTTGAAGACCCTCGTTCCTCATCAGGCCTGGAAGTGGCCTCTCTGTGAACTACGACTCTCAATGACGCTTTCCTCTAACCAAGCTGCCGTTTGATATAACTTAGCCTGTGGTCAGCATGGCTTAGCAAGGGTGAGTACATCATTAACTTTAGGTGACTTGTATCAAGTGCTAGAGGAGAAAACTTCAAGGTCCTGCGCCTGTCAATCACTTAAGACTTCCTCAGGAACCTGTGTACTGACTTGAAAAAGAAAGGACTGGTTGTATTCCAGTATAAAGGAACCATGTTTTTTTATAGTCAGGCAGGAAGGCACGAGCCGGCAAATGAAAGCCGATGCTTAGACGGCCCCGGTGCCCCCACTGCAGGTTTCTTCCCCTAGAGTGGTAAATTGAGAATTAGCCCTGGCAGGACCTAGAAGCAGAGTGGGGTGGGCTGAGCCTATCCTGCTACACTACCTCTCCATCAGACACACGATGAAGATGGCAGCTACCCAGATGCTTCGAGGAAACAAAAGCACAAATGTACTTGTATCAGTGTCCTTGTGTGCTCCCATTCTGCCAAGTCCTTTTGAGGTTCCTAATAGTGAGCTGCGGGATAACCACACAGGGTCAGGAGTATCCTCTCCCCCACTTTGTGTGGCAGGGAAAGAAGTTCCAGGTCTGGAGTGGCGATCTGAATATAACATACAGACTCCTAATGTCCTGCCAGGCCCAGTGCTGGCTGCCTTTCCCTAGGGCTGTAGTCTTGTGACCAAGACTATTCTAAATGTAGTCTCCAAAGACATGTTGAACGATAGATCAAATATGATTGATTTCCCTACTGAGATATGTAAAAAGTTTAGGTACAATGTTTAGGCATGAATTATTATACGGAAAATCAAAGTTCAGTAATGTTGGTATTGGAATAATTGAAATATGCTGAATTGACAGGTGCCAAGATGGTAGGGGAAACGGCTCTTTAGACCAGGTTGCAAATTAAAAACATGTAAAAGTTTCTGAAAATATCCATGTCATATTCCATCCCACACAGTCCAATCAGAATCTTTGGGGATGGTGTGGGTCCCAGAGTTTTGGACAAAAACCGTTAATGGCAAGAAAAGCAGACTGGCCCAACTCTTGGAAGCCTTAAGTTCTAGGCTTCGTCTGCCACTTTCTGGCGTCACATCTTGGGTTTTCTGCTGGAAGACTGGATTAGTTCCTAGCTTTATGTACTTCATGAAATGCTCTGATATCATTTGATTAGGATTCGAATATCAAAGTAATGAAAAATCCAAATAACCAGAGGGTGGAAAATGTTAGGGAATATTTTCAGGATTAAATACAATGTCCAACAATTTATAAAACACAGGACTTAGGAGATATTGATGCAAAATGTTTACTGCTCAAGAGAGGGTGTAAGGCTCTATGGACGAGGCATCAAAAAAAAATCTGGAAAAGTTCCATGTCACAAAAAACTGGAAAGAAACAATTAAAAATCCAACCAACCAGAAAAGGCTATATACATCATAAAAATAGGATGTTTTGCAAAGAAAGATTCTGTGGAAACAGTAAAAAAAAAAAAGTCAGAGATTTCCAGGAATTTCAGGGAGGGCAGGGTGATGAGGGGAAGAACACAGGGATTTCTGGGGTAGTTAAACTATCTTGTGTGATGTGATAATGGCAGGCATGTGCCATGTACGCTTGCTCAAATACAATGAATGTTTGGTGCCCAAACGCATGCTAACGAAAGTCATGGACTTGGATGACAGTGATGTGGCATTGGAGGCCCATGAGCTGTGGCAGATCTAACTCTGTGCTGTGGGGTTTTGAGAGTGGGGAAGGCTATGCACACGTGTAGGTTGGAGTACAAAGGCAATCTCTAACACATGCTCAGTTTTTCTAGGAAGGGAAAGCTGCCTTGAAAAATTGCTTATTAATTAAAACAGCTAACTGGAACTATCTTGGGATGGCAGGTGATTTATTTCTTCCCAAAATTAAAAAAAGAAAAATAAAGAGAAACAAAGCAGGGTGTGGTGGCACATGCTTACAGTCCTAGGGACTGACGCAAGAGGATCACGAGTTGGAGGTCAGCCTCAGCCATACAGTAAGAATCTATCTTTAAACAATAACAAAATAATACAAAGCAACAGGACCCAGTAAGCGTGTATATTCAAGGCGAGTGAATGGCAATAAGATACTGAGCAAAGCCTGTTAAAAACATGCGTATTAGGTTCTCTATTAAAACAGAAATACGTTAGCCTGTTAAGTGGAGAGTTCACAGATCGAATCCCATAGCTAGTTGTACTCACCATCCTTGCAGATGGCTCCCATCTGACACATTCCCAAGTCTAAAAGATATCCACTGGGGCAGCTGGAACAGTTCTTGAAGCCCGGGCCACTGCATGTCAAACAGCTGTTGTCGCATCTATGGGCAAAACACACAACTTATTAAATCTCTTATTCATCTGCATGGGGAAAGGTACATTTACCATCAAGCTCTCAATGATTTAAAACTAATTCTTCCTTTGAAGATAACAAAAAGCCCTTTCCTTATAGGTTTGATCACGTTAGAGGAAACATGACTGGTAGACACTGGTGCCCAAGGGGACAAAGCATGTCTCAGACATAGAAGTGTTATTTTAAAAGCTCTAGGGTATGTGTGAGGGGGAACTGGGGTTGTGGATATGTCTAATTTGGTAAGGTTCAGATCCTTAGTAGCCATGTCAAAACGCAGGTGTGGGGTTGTGCCTCTAGAATCCTAGCACTGGGAAGGGACATAGGTCCTGGGGGCTTGTGCTTGACCATCTGGTCAAACTGGTGAGTGATCTTATCTCAAAAAATAAAAGGTCAGTGGAGGTAGACACTGAACGCTGACCTCTGGCCTCCAGGCACCTACCCCCACCCACACACACAATGTTAACGGTGGTCCCGAGGAATTAAAAACACCAGGCAACAGAACCAACTCTGCAGGCCAGTGTCTGAAGGCAACTGACCGAACTGTACTTTATCATTACAAAGTCTTGGTTTTCTCATTTCGTGGGAAGGCAGTCCTGCAAGGATATCGAGGCTAGGGTCACAGCAGACAGACTTACCTCTTGCAAGATTTGTATCCGCTATCTGAATTATGGTCCAAATAGTAACTCACACTGCAGCTCTGTACACATCTCCCCTCTTCCATGACGTAACCCTCAGTGCAGTTAATGCACCCATCTGCTCCAGCCCCTTCAGTGCAAGACACATGCAAGAAACAGGGAAGAAAAATCAAAAAGCCTCAGATGAGGCTGAAGTACGGAATTCCATAGAAGTCTGTGAAAACCACGCCCATCTACCACCATCTTAAGCCATGATGTTATAGTCCCCTTTCTTACTCTCCTCAGTGGGGCTCTTGTGTTTTTAACTGAGTCTATTTGCCAAGAACACCCGTTCTTCCAAGCAGAAGATGCCACTGTGATATTTACGTTTCCCCGTGAGGACAAGGTGCTGACAACTGGCTTTTTGTGAGAACTGGTGCACAATTATCAGGAGACATGTGGCATTCTACACTCACTTGGAACATATTGAGTGTTACATGAAAGATGGCTAGGGCCAAATAAAACCAAAGCCACAAGGGGGAAAATAAAATAAGGGAGGAGTTGGAGACGGTACCTGCACAGGCAGCACAGAAACGGTGACAGGGCTGGCAATCGTGGCCGTTGAAGAACTGTCCATCCTCACAGGTGACAGAACAGCGGGATCCCTGAAGACTGCGAGAAACAGAGACAACCCATAAACAGACTGTTGACCTATGACAAAGTGACAGGGAGACACAAGACTCCATATGTAATAGACACAATCTCTGCTCGGAGACCCAAGAGCTGCCAGGCAAAGAAAATGGCTCTAGACCTTTCTTGGCACTTAACCTGGCATATTTCAATCTTACTCAGGATCTAACAGAGTCTGAAAAAGTATGGGCAAAGGGTTGGAAAGATGGCTCAGTGGTTTAGAGCACCGGCTCTTGCAGAGCAACCGGTTTGGGTTCCCAGCGCCCATAAGACTGCTCACAACCTTCTGATACCTTCTTCTTGCCTCTGTGGGTAGGTGTGCATGTGGTACAGGCAGAACACTCAAACCCATAAAGAACAACAAAAACGCTGACTGGCTGCAACATCTTATTACAGCTTTGCCATCTTCTGTTGGCTCATTCACTTAGTCACTCTGATGAACAATCAGCAAAACACAACTGTGCAGACATCTTGACTTTCTTTGGTTGTATTAGTGTTTAGTTTTTCCTGGAGGTCTCTCCACAACATTAATGAAATTGCTACTTCTCTAGCTATGACTATGAGACATATCTAAGTTTCTACAATATAAAATAAAAATGTAAGCATTTTCTTCTTTTAAATTTCTGTCAGCTATGACATTGCTCATAGCCTAAATTTTAATTAATTATCTAACTAATTAATTAATTTTTGAGACAGGTTCTCATGCAGCCTATCCTGGCCTTGAATTTATTAGCTATGTAACTGACAATGACCTTCTGGCCTCTGGGACGACAGGTGCATGTCACGGCACCAAGCTTACAGCTTGAATCTTAAACTTAAAAATATAAAGAGAATGTATATTATTTCATATAAAAAATCATGGAATGGAAATTGAAAGAGAATGGGTGTAATTTCTGTTATCAAATTAATTCTATTGGACAATGTGTAGTTATGAAACACGGTCAGTCAAATGGTTTCTACTTTTTAATATTCTGTATTGCTCCAATTTATATCCTACTTGGCTGCTTTGTATATGGGTTATATTAATTTTGAAAACTAAAATTTACTTCACCCTCTACTCATTCAAGAAACTAGGGAAGTCCAAAAATAAAGCAGCTGAAGAAAAGAATCATAAATACTCCTGTTAGCACTTTAATTATTTTCTTTTTGGATTTTAGGCAAAGGCATTTCCTTGTACTTGTTCTTAGCTACTTCTCAGGTTTTCTGAGATCACATGGCCAGCCCAGAAGCACCTAGGAAGGAGCCTTGATGTGACAACGGGCAGCTTCACCAAAAGTGCGCGTCATTCTCAGGGCTTGCTGGCCTGTGGCCAACCAAGTTCTCACTCTCTTCCTCCAGCTCTACAGAATAGCACAGTTGCATAAAATGGATCCTTTTGTGGAATGAAATAAGGACCACTCGAAATAAAGTACCACAGTTTTGGAAAAGATGCCTTGGCTCTCTAAGAAAGAACAGCGTTCTGATGTTGGCTTCCGTTCAGGCGGAGACAGAGGCTGCACTGTGTAGGAACTGATGATGGAAGGGGCGGGCCACAGAGAGCAGTCACTGAACCCTGAGTGGTCAGCTGCTCCCAAAATACAGTCATCTGAGGCCCACCAGCCCAGTTCAGGGCTGCCTCCATTCCTTCTGGAATAAACTGGCTAGTTCAGGTCCAGGCCAGCCACTCAGCTACTGAGCCCTTGAGGTTGGGAAATAAATTTTAAATTTCCATTCAGTTTTTATTAATTTATATCTATGTTTGAAAAAAAGCTATACTAGATTCAGTTATTGCAAACTTCTCAGCACATTTGGAATATGGTGGCTTTTAAAATTTGCTCTCTCAATTAGATTTAAAAGCATCTTATACAGATATTTCCCATAAACATTATTAAGTCTTAAACATATGTTAAGAACTTATATACCAGACTTCAGAGACTTAATAAGACAATAAAGGATGTAGAGTAGCTCACAAATAGTTTTCTTTTACATTGGCCACATGTTGTAATGGTAATATTTGGATATACTGGGCTAAGTGAAGTATTTTATTGAAATCATTTCCCTTATAGCTTTTCACCCCGTTTAATACAGCTACTGGCACATTTACAACTCCATACATGGCCCTCACATTTCTTCTGTGCGTTCTGCTTTAACTTACTCCATAAACTGTTCTCTGAGAAAAAAAATAAAGAACTAATTACGTACCAGATGTAAGCAGTTCATAAACGCCATCAGACTTTGCAAAGTAGAGGCTACTTTCACCATTTTATAATGAGAACAATGGAAGGCAGCAGCGGTTAAGTGACTTGCCCGAAATCACAATTAATAAATGGCCGAAGAAAATTTCTACCGCACCATTTCCCTGTTCCTTTATGAAGAATTAAGTGGGGGATAGGAGAGATGGCTCAGTTGGTACAAGCACTGGCTGTTCTTCCAGAGGACCCAGGTTTGATTCCCAGCATCCAGCTGGCAGCTCACCACTGTTAGGCTCAGGGGATCTGGTGCCCTTTTCTGACTTCCATAGACACCAGACACATACATGGTGCACAAACACACATACAGGAAAATACACATGCATAGAATAGAAATTAAAAAGAAGAATCAGGAAGTTGAGTGGACTTGTATTTATCAAGATTATCAAGTACTGAGAAGCAAGGCTCTAAGTTACTAAGAGCATTTATGGAAACAAAGAAGAACGACACAGGCAATGAATAGGTCTAAGTTATGTCCCCACACTGATGAGTGTCCGGGGTACCAGCCTGGTAACTGCCTACACTATGCTCCTTCACTTTGGATCACAGATGGATGGAGTGAAATACTCTGCCACGACCGAAAGGAATCCACTGTCAAGTGCCACCTCCACACAAAGCCAGAGCCCTGCACAGGACTCTGCATAAAAGCGGCTGATCTTGTCCTCAGGACAGAGGCTTCATGATCGTTTGTGCTGCAGATTGTTCTCTTACGGTCTACCGAATATCCGCTTTGGCCAAGAGCAAATCATCAACTGGAGGAAAACACCTCCTGGTGTTAAATCTGTGTGCACACCGCAGATAGTCTAATGGAAATGAACCTGAGGTACTTAAGATAAGCGAATGGCTGGGTGTGTGGAGAGAAAGAATAAAGATAAGAGAATAACTTTCCACCACTGAGAATTGAATCAGGCAGATTAAAGAGTATTTACTGGCACTATCTGCCCAGTCATTCTTGACTAGCACAATGCAAGTCAAAATGGATAAGGGATGCTTCTCAAGTGGTCATTTTACTATTATCCGAGCCATCTTTCTTTTACAATTTTTAATTTTTTTTTGTAGATTTATTTATTTTGTGTGTTTGTTTCAACTCCATGCATGTATGTGAACCATGTGGCTGCCTTGTGCCTGTGGAGATCAAAAGAGGGCATTGGATCTGCTGGAACTGGAGCTACAGATGGTTGTGAGCTACCGTGTAGGGGCTGGGGCTCCATCCTCAGGTCAGCTGTAAGAACAGCAAGCGCTCTTTACTGCTGAGCCATCTCTCTAGCCACCAAATCTTCTTCCTTACAGAGAATTTACTTGGTATATAATCCTTCCTTAGCCAAGATAGCATTCCATTTCTTCCCATCTAATTGTTGAAATAATCCAAATAACAGGGAAGCGCTTCAGTCAGGGTCAAGCCTAGGGCAGACGGAAGAGAATGGTTTCCACGCTGACTCTCACTCGGCACAGGTCCCTGACGGTGCTGTCTCTCGCTGGATTTCACCCTCTTACCTTAACCCTCCCTTGCACTCCGTGCAGTTGTGGAATCCGGTGCACGTCTTACAGTTCTCACTGCATTTCTCACAAAGGTTCTTCTCTGTCGAAAAGCAAGGAAGCACAGGCGTATGTCAGTCAACTGCATTCCATAGGGAATGGAGATGTTCCTGTGTAGACTCAGTAGACTCATGCGCCCTCTCCTGCCTAAGGGCTCATCTGGAGGCTGCATTGAGAAGTTTAGGCAGCTGATGGCATGAAGGGCTACCCCAGGAAGCACCAGGCACTTGTGTGACGTGATGCGGACGACTGTGGGAACTCTCAGCTGAAAACGTTACGGTTTCTTACTTCTTCCAGCTCGCTTTTGAAAGCAGGAAGACTTTCCTGACTCGACAACAGGAAATCTCCTTCATGAAGTGAGGGCAGTTTTGCTAAGTGATGAAGGCAATACTGTGGACATGGGGTGTAGGACCTTCTTGCTCAAGGCTTTTAGGACCATCTGGTGAGCGTGGCAGAAAAGGAAATGGACACTGAAGATTTCATGTGTCACCTCAAACAGTGCCATGGAATGGATGTAAAAAAGATTTTGCTCCAATAACACCTATGTTCTGTCGAAGTGTATTAGTTTGAATGCATACACCATAAGTTTTCATATTCAATAACAAACCCAGGTCCACACTGCAAAAACCCAACAAACATGATGGTTTTATTATGAAAAATAGTGACTTGGCATATTTTTACTTTGAGCTTTGCTAAATTTTTGCTGAAAATTGAGAACATGCTCTGTTAAGCATCTGTCTATCTGTCCATCTGTCTGTCCACCCTCCCACCCAGTGTTGTTCACAGTCTTCTCCTCTCTCTGCTCTTTAAGTGCTGATATTCATCGAGGTTCCATGGAGATGGATTCCCATATGGACCTATTGAGTATTCTGTATCTTTCAGTTAGAAATGCAAAGCCCTAGGCAATGTTCTAGCAGCCCCTACTGTGACATTAAGAACATATGTTCTGGCCTTGGACTTGAAGTCACAGGCCCGGGATTTGCATTCTGCAAAAGCTCTTCCATTGGGCAAGTTCAGTGTTTCTGGACTCCGAGCTCTTGAGTGAAGAAGATTATAGTGAATCCTACCTCTCAGCTTATGTTGGCAAGTTAATGGGGTTATTCAAGGGGAAAAGATCAACTATAAATCATTGTGAATGTGTTCTTAGTAATTATGAGTAGCCACGGTCATACCTGATCACTGTATTGTATGTAAATGGGCTTACTAGAGGGAGAAACTGTAACCAAGGCAATAGGAGAGACACAGGGACCACTTGAACCGATGCCATATGGTGGCTAAAGTAACCAAACAGCTTCTCAAGAGTACTCCCAGGTTCTTTAGGTTTAAAGGAACAGCCTGCTGGGTGTTCGGTGATGGAACACACTTAACACGTGCAAGGCTCCCTAAGAAATACCGCGTGTTTCTGTGGATCTCCTACAACTCTTCTTATCCTCTAAATTTTCCTTCCCCCTAACAAGGGGGAAGTCCCGTTCCAAATTTGGAGGCAAATAAGAACCTCAGGAGAATCCCTATTTCTCCCAAGGGTGGAATGAGGGCCTGATCTACATAGAAAAATGGCCACTCTTGAAAAAAGAATTTCACTTCTGTAAAGAATTATTTCTTTATGATTACCATGTATATGCGTGTGAACATGTGTGTGTGTGTGTGTGTGTGTGTGTGTGCAAGGGAGGTCAGAGGACAATCTTTGGCGGTCTAATCAATCTCTTCCACTCTGAACTCAGGCTTTTATGGCATGCACTTTTTGCAGGCGGACCCATCTTGCAGCCTGAGGAGTCCAGTTCTGAAGAGGCAAGACTTTTGTCCAATATTTACAGAGAGAGCTGTCTCAGGTCGTGAAGCAGCATGACACTCCAGTGCCATCATAGACTGCGTGTGGTGGGCGACAAATTATCTAGAGCTCAGAGACAAAGCCAGAGATACCTACAACCCTGGGAGGGCCATACTGAAGCAAAGTCTGACCACAGGGTCTTGCCTATTTATTAATTACAGCTAATAAGGGCCAACTTCTGAGAAGTTACAGGTTAATGTATGATTGCTGTTTAGGAAAACAATGATGTTCTGGGTGTGAGAAATAAATACCTCCACCCCAAACCTGCTTGTATTGCCATGTTTAACTTGGCTTCATTTCTAACTTAATACAAAGACTCTCCCTTTTTCTTTTCCATGCCTCCCTTTCTTGCTTCCTTTACTGTCTGTCTGTAGAATTATGGGTCTGTCTGTGTGTCAGTACATGCGTGTGAATGCAGGTATCCTCAGGGGTTAGAGGTGGTTGCTGAATGCCCTGACATTGGAATTACAGGTGTTGTGAGCCGTCGTAAACGTCACTCAGGTCCTCTGGAGGACCTGACCCTCTGACCCACAATCTTAACCACCAAGTCACCTCAGCAGCTCCATAAAAGGGGTTCTTTTTCCCTTTCCTAGGGGACTACAGTCCTTGATCATCTCACAGCCCCTTCTCCTCTCGCTTGTTTCTCTATGTCACGTTATTCATTAATGAGTAGAATGTCTCTGAGACATGTCCATGCTACATCTCATGCTTTGGAAGCTTTTTGCAAGCCCCATTTGGTTAATGGGAAGACGTGAGCAGGTCTGACTGCCATCCTTCCTATCAGGCTGGCCCCCAGATGGCTTCTGGGAACTTGGATTTAGGGAGAGCGTCCCCTAAGCTAAGACTGTGAAAACTATACAAGCAGCATGGTTGACGGTGTGGGCTGGGTGGAACAGGTAGCGTCTATCTGTTCAACTCCTAATGATGACTGGGGACACGGAGTCTCTACTGGAAATATTTTGTATTTTACGCATGCTATCACAAATGGCTGTGTGTGTGTGTGGGGGGGAGATTAAGTATGTGTTGAGTGTGCACTCTCAGAAGCATAGTTCTAGATTCCTGTAGACTTCCCTAATTCCCTTTGCTGAGTTGATTCTGCGTCCTTCTGCTTTAATAAATTCCAGCTGCAATTGTATCTCCAGCACTATGAGTGTAGCAGTAAGTCATTGTGGTGGGAGGGATTGAGAGGGTCCTTGGCTACAGGTAGTTACAGGCACCTCTACACAATACTTCTTAAGTATCTCTTTGATGAACTGGCTAGGTTCTGTTTGGTGCTAAGCAAAGTCCAGATCCCATGCATGGAGCTACTCAAATAAAAACCTTGTCTTTTTCAAAACCCAAATACTGGAAAGCAACTCACTGGTATCCTGGTATGACCCATCAGGGCACTGAGTAACACAACTGCTGGTGTCTTCATTCAGAAAGTAGCCATATTTACAGGATAGGCACTGATCACCGTGGCTGCCGAAGCAGGACTCACAGTTGGGCGCACACTTCCGGCACCTCTTCTTGTCAGCATGGTAGTGGCCAGGAGGGCAGCTGGAGACACAGATTCTGCATTGTGGGATGGCAAAAGAAACGGGTCCTCATCAGTACTCAGACCTCAGCATTCTTGTGGAAAAGCTGACGGCTGCCTGCTGCCTGCTGCCTGCAGGTTAATTTTCAAGTGGGATGCCCACACCAGACCAAAAGGACCAAATGTGTCTGATAAAGCTTCCTCCCGGCCAGGAAGTCAGAGGAGCTTCGCAGTTAGACTGCACTACATCCACTAAGCAGGTATTTCATTGTCTGCTAGCGTCTACTTACGGTCTACCTCTATAAGAAATGATAATTGCAGTTTGAATCTCAAGGACTAGCTTGTTGTGTTGAATCGGAGGGAAAACAAATATGGGCCATTCCTTTATGGAAAAGTTCACTAAAATAAGGTCTTCTGTCCACTTCTGTGTGAAATCTGTCATATGGCTTGTGTGTACATGTATGTAGATGTGGTATGTTCTTATCTAAATGGACACACACACACACAATTTTGTTCACCAAAAACTTCTTTAAAAAAAAACAAAACCAACTTTCTTAACTGTCTATAACTGAAAGAAAGACTTTACTTATTTATTTAAATATTTATTGAGCACAAATTACACACCAGACATTGAGGTTAGTTCAACAGACAGAACAAGCACCGAGATAGCTTAGAACATTCCTCCTTGAGGCATTTAACTTCTAGCATGGATTTAAACAGAAATCCGAGCTTTTCTCTGTTTGCTTAGGTGTCTGAGCACTGTTTCTAGAATACAATTTTATCTGAAAGGGAATGAGAAGGTGGGCTAGGCTGGAAAGGACATGATGTTGGTCAGATGGGCTTTGTGTGGGAAGGCATTAGTCTGTAACTTGGATCCACAGGAAGACATTTGTATAGCTAGGCAGAAACCAGGGGCTGAGAGGCACAGGCTCTATTTCAACATCTAAAGTGGAAGAGTAAAGTAAGAACAGAAACAAGTAGTATGTTAGGGTATGTAAACAGAAAGTATATGTCTGGCCAAGGCATGTCCAGGAAGGACAAACATAACCAGTGTACCAAATACTAAGGGACTAAAAAGTAAAAGGACACAGAACTTCAGACAGGATGATTAAGTTAAACAGATATATTTTACATCATGGTGGCTAGGGTTAATAGCAACATGCTGCATACTTGAAAATTGCTAAAAAGGTCAATTTAGAATGTTCTCATTACAAAAATCATAAGCATGTTGACAATATAGATATTAAATAGCTTTAGTTATCTTACAATGTACAACATTCATAAATATATGTAATTTATACTTCCTAATTGGTAAAGGAAAGAACTAAAGGAGAAGGCCAGCCTGCTAAAGTACACAGCCGATCTCACTCACCATGCCTCCAAAAGTAAGAAAGCATTTGCAGGTACATATACATGGCATATATTCTGTATTAACCTGACTCGATTTGGAATCACCTAGGAGATACACCTGCAGATATATCAATGAGCATGGTTTCCAGAGACTGAATTGTAGACCCACCCTAAATGTAGGTAGCACCATGCCATGGCCTTGGGTCCCAGACTGAATAAAAAAGGAAAAGGAAGAAAGGATGCTGAGTACCTACACTGATCCGAGTCTGACTGCTGATTCAATGCGGTTAACTGCTTCATGCCCTCACCATCGTGCCTACAGTACCTTGATGAACTATAACCCTTCAGAGTGTGAGTCAAAACAAACAGTTCTCAGCAGGGTGGTGGTGGCACATGCCTTTAATCCCAGCACTTGGGAGGCAGAGGCAGGTGGATCTCTGTGAGTTCGAGGCCAGCCTGATCTACAAGAGCTAGTTCCAGGACAGGCTCCAAAGCTACAGAGAAACCCTATCTAGAAAAATCAAAAAACAAAACAAAACAAACAGTTCTCTGGTTTACTTTTGTCAGGTATTTTGTCCCAGCCAGAGGAAAGCAACAAATACAGAAAATCAGTATTATGAGTGGGATTTTCTGCTGTGATAAACCTGACCTCATAGTATGTAGGATGGTAAGGGGAATATGGAAGCATTTGGAAATTCAGGTTACCGAAGCCCTGAAATGCTCTAAGGAGAGCGTATGGGGCCACCCCCATAGCAATTTACCAGTCAGAATGCTGAAAGAAATGCAGGCAGTGGAGGCCAGGTTCTGAGGTTTCAGAGGGAAATAAGGGCTCTATGGGAACCTGCAGGAGGGTCATTTATATAACATTCTGCCTGGGTATTGAACATTGGCTCAATTAGAAAGTTTTAACTGTTAGGTGGAGGAACTGGTTAAGGCAGCCTCACGTGCATGCTGGGATGTGGCTACTGCTCGCTACTCTTAGTCAGATGGACGCTAGCGAGTGCTGAAAGATGTGAATAATGTGCCTGGTGAGAGAAGCAGAGGAAGGGAGTTTCCAACCATCGCTAAGGACAGAGGTATAATTGCCTGAGAGGGCTCGGTCCTTAAAGAGAAACCTTCAACTTCTTGCTGGAGCAATATGAAAAGGGCCATTAGCGAGAGACCCTGCACACTGCTGCTTGTACTCAGGGGCAGAGGGGCGGTGCACATCCGTGTGAGAGGAGGCTGAACTGCCAATGCTACTGACATGATGCCCTGCTGAGAACAACGGACGTAGGGACGCGTTTGCATTATGTTTAACTGCCAAGGCACACAGGCCACTACAACTGTGGGAAATGGGGGTCAAACTACATTTCACACGCACATCAGAACTTGATGCATCACTCACAATGTTGGCCTTTCTGAGCAAGTGTTACAACATCATCGAGGCTTCTTTCAAGGTTCTAGAAAGCTACCGAGGACAGTCAGTAAAGCAAGATCAAATTCTCTGCTAGGAGGCTCCGAGAAGTACTGTGAAGCTAGGAAGGTAAGGCCTAAGCTGCAAGGGAGACCCAAGGATGCTGGAGATGCCAGGACCATGGGATGGTCATGAAAGAAAGCTATAGGCAATGCGTGGAACCTTTTTATGAGAAAGGAAACTGTTACAGGTGGCAGAAGTGGAGAGGTTGGTATAGCCAAGACTGTTGGAGCTCAGTTTGTGCCAAGGGACACAGACACCAGACATAGGGCTGCAGAATTCCTTGTTTGCTCCACTGGGTTTTGATCTTGCTTTGGTCTGATCTTTGTCACACACGAATTCTTCAATTTTGAAATAGAAAATGTATTCCATGCCATTATATACTGTAAATATGGAACCTGGTTTTATAAGGGATTGAAGTTAAGAGTAAGTGTGCAAAAAGTCTAAAGAGACTTTAGGTTTTTGAATACTGTAAGTTTGTTAAGATTGAGGGATTCTTACAGATATAAGAATGTAATATACTTTAAATTATAAGAGGTTTATGAGTCTTGAGGATCGGAGGTGGAATGTTATTAGTGACAGTGATATGCTGTAGTGTTGAGTTGACCAGGTGTAGACCTGTGATGATTAACCTGCACTGTCAACCTGGAGAGACTTCGAATTAGCTCTGGATGTGTCTGTATTTACAGAGAGGTTTAACCTACGAGACAAGATACACTCTGAATATAGACAAGATTCCTGGATTAATTAAAAAGAGGGGGAAAAAAGCAAAAAGGCACCTGAGCACCAGAATTGGTTTTTTTTTTTTCCATAATGGGCACGATGTGACTGGCTCCTTTTGACCCAGCTCCCATGCTTTCTATGCCAGGATGGACTGCATCTCCTCACACTGTGAGCAAAATCCTTTACCCCCTTAAACTGCTTCTGTCTGGTGATCTGTCACAGTGACAAGAAAAATGACTAATAAATACCCCGATTTTTTACTGTGTGAATCAGTATGGTTTTCACCCACGAGAATGACAGGACTGTCATGGGCCTCAGCAGGGACATCCTTTCTGTGTTTAGAGCCTGGAAGAGGAACCAGGAAATACAGCATGTCCATACGTACTCTATGTGGTTGGCCCCACAAGAATGTCTGGGAAATAAAAGGCATGCTTTAGGGTTCATGTGAGAACATGGCTTGTCTCTTACCTGGTGTTATTTTTCAGCTTGTAGTAGTAGTGTAAACAGTCATTGCAGTGGTCTGGTCCTGGCCCGTCACAGCCAACCTCACTGCATTCAGCATCACAGGGACCTTTCAAAAAGTGATTAGAAGTTAGAAAAGGAAATGATGCTAGTAAATCAGTTTAGTCTTGAAGTTGGAATAGAATAAGGTATTTTAGCCCCTTGCCACCACGTAGTGACAATTTCTTTAAGATGGAGGAAAATTGGTCAATGTAGCTATAATCTCAAAACTGAGCTGTTGATTGAAGCTAAACCTCAATTGCTGAAGAGACAAGAATAAAAATTATAGGCATGGTTTGGTATTTATAACACATATGGTAGCCTTGGGGCTCTGGGAGAGACAGTAAGAAATTGGAATTCAAATGAACTGTTCCACTGCAGCATAGTTACTATGCATTGTGAAAAACATATGCTATTTATTGAAAAATGAGAAGTTAGATAGTTGACAAAAAACTATTACTTAATGCCAAGAGTAGATATTGTATCTGGTATAAGGTCACTAAAGCCATTGAGTATCTCTGAAATACTACAGCCATCATGAAATATCATTGTGGCATATGACACAAACTTATCAGACCCTAGTGTTGGATCGTAAAGCACAGAAAGATTTAAGTTTGTGTCCCACCAAAGGTCAAAGGGCAGCTCAACAAAAGAGATAACATATAAATTCAAAATTGCAAAGGAGACTAAAGAAGTCCACACCTGGGATGAAGGTTCCCAAGTTCTCGTGTTAGACTTCTTCATTGTTATTATATGAGGAACAATTCATAGCAAGCAAAAACCATGCCGGAGGGGTGGGCTGTGCTGTGATTGACACCAAGCATTCTAGTGGCATGGGTAATTGAGGTAAGTGTTTACGTCTTTCTTCTTGGTCTCCAACTTTTATGATATTTGGCTTCATCATTTTCAAACCCCTTCCTACCAGAGATTCTTGTAATTTTGAAGACCAATACATAATTTCCTGAAATATGCAAAATGTAGGTGAAGGGAATCACTAGTGCTTGATTTCTTCCTGCTTTAATGAAAGGGATTTACTGCTAAACCTCCCAAGGTGTCTTTTAGCCCTTAGAGAACTAGGCTCTGTGATTACTCAGTGAACAAGTATAAAATGCTAGAACTTAGGAAGAAGAACTTGAAAGAGAGGTGCTAGTCGATGATGAGAACCTGACTGTCTGAGTTGTAATGGCTTGTCCAGCATCACATGACTTGGAAAGCTGGGTTCAAGAAACATGCAGAGGTCTGGTTACAGATCTGTTTAAAGGAAGCGAATCATGTATTTGAAATGTCCTCGTGGTCTGAATGGAATAAGTGATTTTCAAACGCCGAGGGCTTGAAGGAATTACTGACAAATTCCAAGAGTCATGTGACAACACTGTTTATTTCTCTTTCCCCAAGAGTCTTAAATTGATTTCCAAATTAAATTTCACAGCTAGTACAACTTGGGACAGTTCAGTCATCTAGCTCTGTGCACCAGGGGAGGGGTGGCTGTGTGGTGTGAGGTAAGGCAGCTGTAGATAGCACAGTCTTTGAGAGTGAGTGAAGCAGTCACCCGGGCCTCTAGTAAGACTGGCCTCTAGTGACGGTTTTACACACACACACACACACACACGCACACGCACACGCACACGCACACGCACATGCAGAGAGAGAGAGAGAGAGAGAGAAAGAGAGAGAGAGAGAGACGAGAAAGAGAGAGAGACAGAGACACAAAGAGAAAGATAGACATAGTTAGCCCTAAATTTTTGCTAGATGCTATTTTTATAAGTTCAAAACTCCCACAAATATGTATTTGTGATGTGTGCCAAGGGTCTGCGTATGGCAGGCTCAAGTGCTATGCTCTTCCTTTTGCAGTCTTAAATTGCTCCAGATACAGTACAACATTGAGAATTTCAGGAGAAGGGTGACAGAAACTTGACTTTGTTCTCTTACAAGTGCCAACATCATTGCTTGTAGAAATGTAATCAGCAAAGGGGAAAGGATGTGTAATTCTGCTCCGAATTTTAACATTACCAAATCACAATCTGAATTTGTTAAATTTGGGATGCAAGAAAGAATAAAAGCTTATTTAGTATTGTGTTCCATTTATGAGGTTGGATACCCTTTCTCCTGTCACAGAAGATAAAATGGTTTCTAGTTATAATATAAACAGTAACATGACAAGCTGAAAGCAAAAACAAGATGAGACAAAAGCTGACACAATTTCGCTCTGGTTAGCTCATTTGGTCTTAATTTTCCAAGCATGATATTGACTCCAGGATACTACCTATTTACAATAAAAGAACCCACTGCACAGTTAAGATATTTTGATAAAATAATTAACTAAAGATATTTATCTCAGCATCAAGAGAAAATTCCTGAACTACAAGAATAAAACACCTTTGTTTAAAAATTCAGCACATTTCTATGCATAAACACTTTTCTATTGATGCTATGTATCATATTTGGCAAGAGCAGGGTGCCCCTAGAATTGGTTGCCAATGCAACAAGACAGGATTCAGAAATAAAAGTAAAAAAAAAAGTTTAGAAAATTGACTTTAAAACATACAAACCAAATAGAAAAGTGGACAACATGTTTAGTTAAAAGACAAAGACACAGTGCAGTAATAGGCTTCCTAAATACTAGTATACATAGTGGAATAGTATGGGCTATTTCCCACTACAATGGCAACGAGACCAAAAACAACAGAGTATAACAATAAGAAGAAAATTATAGGAGGCTAAATGATTCCAGTAAAATGAGGCAAGTTAAAATTTACATGGAAGATTAATACAAAAACAAGTCTTTCCATGAGACTGCATATAAATTCCAATTAAGTTCAAGTGGGAAACTCAAATGCGACTTTCGTCATTTAATAGTTCATCTGAAGACCAGGGGGACAGCGATCTTTATAGAAACTGGAAGTAGATGTTTGGCAAATACTAAAATAGGGTATGTGCTCACAGCACGCCAGGTCCCCAGCACAGGAGAAGAAAGGCAAGAAGGGGAAGGAGAAGTTAGTGGTTCTGTTTGATTTTGCGAACTTGATACCTGCAGCGTTATCCAGGAAGAGGGACCTCAGGTGAGGAACTGCTTTCTATCCGATTGGTCCCTGGGTATGTCATACAGCATTTTCTTGACTGATGTGGGCGGGCCCAGGCCAGGGTGGGATGTGCCATCCCTGGGCAGGTGGGCATGGGGTGTATAAGGTAACAAACTGAGAAAGCCAAAAAAAGCAGGCCTGAAAGGGATTCTTTCTCGGTGGCCTCTGCTTCGGTTCCTGTCCCAACTTCCCTTCTAAGTGAACTATAAACAACAAGATAAAATAAAGCCTTTCATTCTCACATTGCTTTTCATTCTACACAGCAACAGAAAACAAAGTAGGATGTCGGGGGGGGGGGGGAGAGAAGAAAGAGAAGGGAAAAAAAGTCATAAAACTAAAATCGAGAAAGATCCTAGAGCAGGTGATATTGGTTTACGAATTATTATGTTGATGACTTAAAAATAGTGAATTAGCAGAGACCTTCATAGAAGAACTCACTAAACTGTTGTAAAGAAAGCATCAGAGTTGGTAAAAGGGGCAATTGCTCAGCCAAAGATGTACATTTGTTTGGAAAATAAAGTCAGTTTCAATCCGCCCTGTACACATCAAACCAAACCCATCCAGGTGGAAACAGCCAACTGGAGGAACATAAAGAGATTACGAAGAGAAAACATGTGGATAGTTCGCTGATATTAAAGGGTAAAATTTCTGAAAATAACAGTGATGAAAATATTCTATGTGAAGTACAAGGCATGCCCTCTATTAGTGATTTCTGTGAAACTGCATAATAAAAGTCACTTTTGAAAGGGACAGCTGAGGCTGTTTTCAGGAGCAGGGAGACAATGTGGAAGGCAGTAACTTACTGACTTCTTGGAGGCAGAGAAGGGAATGGCCATCACCTTGAATAGAAACTGGGCAAAACAATGCAGCATTTAATCTTGAAAACTACCGAGAAGGCATGCCCAGTTTTACGAGCAACCAAAGCTATAAACATTTAAAAACGAATGCACACACAAATATTTGCGGAGGAAAATATTCCAGGCTATGGATAGATGCTGAATAGAATGTATATCATACCACACCTTTGAAGCATATTCCACTACATCTATTCCAGCATGTCATTCCACATGCCAGGAACATGCCCGAGCTTTCCCATGTCCAACTCACCCGCATAATCTTCAGCACCATAGTCGTCCGTGGGATCTTCCACCCGGCTGTAGCGGAAGCGCTCTACCTTGGGAAACTCATTGGTTGGGGAGTAGGGCTGCACAGATGTGCCATAGAGGACCAAGGACCATTCTTTCAATTTACCTTGAGAAACAGGAACAAACACAGAGTATGAGCAGATAATGTCAGTTACTAACGTAACGTCTTTACGTTAGTCCTTCTCAAAAGAAAGAGCCACATTGGAAGAGCGGCAAGGCCGACAGGAACCATACCTGGTGCAAGGGGAGCAGTGCACAGTCCTAGCATCTACAGAACTAAGTACTTCCCAGTTCACATGCCACACATTCACTGTGTACCCACAGCAGGGAAACTGGGAAATAAACATCCTTCCTATAGCGGGATCAAGGGATGAACGGCAATATTTAAGAGATTACTAGCTGTCTAGGGAAGACTTCGTTACTTGGGGTACAAAGGTCTTACCTCAGTGGTTGAAATGTTTTGAGTGGTGTCTGATGTGTTAATATGAAAAAACAATTCTTTTTGCCATCTAATCCCATAATCAGTTGTTCGGTATGTGTATTTAGATGATTCTAAAAATGTCTGATGTGCAGTCATTAGATATGCTTGGCTATTTAAATGTAAATCAACTAAAGTTAACTAAAAGGTTCAGGTCCTCAAGATGGCACCGAGTCATAAATCCATGGCCATGGATAATAAACTACATCATTGCAGAATATTTTCCTAGATAGTGTGAGCTGTAGGGAACCCCTCACTCACGTGTTACCCTAATAAGTCAGTGGTTCATCAAGCTAGACATGGGTGGATTTTTTTTTTTTTGGTCTAGTGTATGTACCATATCTCAGATTGAATGGACTATTTTTCACCTGAAGGAAAAGTCACCCATGACTAGCCTGGGAAAAGTAGTAAAACTAAGATTATTCTGAATGCATTTTATTTATGTGATTTTTAAATAATCTTTTAAAAACAAAAATATCTTTATTTCACTAATTAACTAAGAACATATATGGGCATGTATGGAGGTCAAAGGACACTTTTTGGGAGGCAGTTCTTTCCTTTTACCATGGCGGTTCTGGGGATTCAGTTTAGGTAGTCAGTCTTGATAACAAGTGCCTTTACCTACTGAGCCACCTGGCCAGCTCCAAGTCCAAGACTTTCCAGCTGAGCCACCATAAGTTTAGAACCACAGATATGCAGGTACGCACTCAGGGTGTAGAACCTATGTGTTGAGCTGGTAGAGTGTGGGTTTGTATGTAGTCTGCTCTTGGCTACGTTTCCTTTGTTAATTGCCGTACTTTCCACAAGCTGAAGGCTGCTGGTGTCAGACTTTTAAGCAGCATGCATAAGCACTGGGGAGAAGAGAATGGCCACCAGGCATGGGTGATTTATTTGATGACTTCTTGTCTTTGCTCTTTCTCAGAGTTGGGGGTACAGGCTTGTTCCTGGGGTTACAGGTATGTAGATGCCAGGATACCCAACTTGTTAAGTGTGTGCTGGCCTCTGAAGTTAGGTCCTTATGATTATATAGTGGCACTCTTAACTGCTAAGCCATCTCTTAAGCCTCCACCTGGATGCACCATAGGGTTCGGCCTCCCCATTTATAGGGCCTTAGATCCTACATAGCAGTATAGAGCTGTATACACAAGACAGTTGAGGGTCAAGATACTCAAAGCATAATGGTCCAAATGGATGTCTCCCATTTCCTTGACAGACAGGCAAAGCGGGGGGTGAACCTGAGCTTTACCCCAACTTCTCCTGAGCACCTCTGCTTTCTGCAGCTCACTGGATGTGAGTTATAGTCATGGAATATCTCGGCGGTCATGTTCTTAGTCAGAACATGGCTGTAAGTCCTGAAGTGTCTCTCAGGTCTGGCCCTTCTGCAAACGGTCAGAGCACCAGGGAAGGCATTACCGACAGCTGAAGAGGGGTCTGTGGATGGGTGGGGAGCTGCATGCTTACTAGCAACTTGACTCATTTCTGAGTCAGATACTGCCAGTGTCCTATCGTGGGCAATGCACACTCCCCCTGTCTGTGCATCCCTTTAATATATGATGCATATGTATACTGGCATGAAGGGGTCAACTGATGTGCAGCTAAGGAATCTTAGAGGACCGGAAAGGATCTGGTATGGTAGTCTCCATACTGTACACTTAAAAGGGTTTTCTTTTCTGGTGAATTAATGGGCCTGTAATGAAATTTACAGCATTGTAGGTGAACAAAGTTAGCTTTATACAATCTACAGAAAAGCGGGTCAGATGTAGGTGTTATAGGATTTGTGTTTTCTTGATAGCAAAATGTTTGCTCTTTGCTTCATGCTATTAAATTATCCCATTTTGTTGAGGACTTGAGGACTAGAAGATGCACAAATAATCCAACGTGTGTATGAAACGACTCACACACAGAATGGTGACGCCGCTCCAGGAGTTCTGTCAGGACATGGTTGTGACACATCCCTCATGGGTTTATGTGCAGTTGGGTGTCTCAAACCTTTAAGAGGTGGGGTCTACTGAAAGGCAGTTAGGCTACGGGGCTTCAGATCCATGGTTACATTACTGGTGGTCTCTCAGAGTGAGTGGATCCTGTAGGGGTGGGTTAGTTCTGGAGCACGTAGGTTGCTAAGTGAGCCTCCAGAACTGTGAGGTAAACAGACCCTTTTTTCTTTACGAGGTAACAGTGTCAAACTGTTGTTATGACCAAGCCAGTCTGGTAGCACAAGTGGAGAACATTCTTTGGCTCAAATGTAGTGCACCATTTCCTTCTACAACACAGATGGATCTGAAATGATTTCTCACCTGGGGTCTTGAAGTTTCTCAGCTGAGATGGAGTATCATAAACTTCAAGGATCCAGTCACCAGCAGCCCGTTCTCCCCAGCAATGAATGGTCATGAACTCCCAGTTCTTAAACCCTTCCATGGAATGATCAAACAGCCTGAAAAAAACCATAACATTTTTTTGGTGTGTGCATTAATCAAAAATATGCTGAGGGGACAGCCAAAAGCATGATCAGTAGTTGGTATTTATCAGCATCCGTGGTCACTAAATGTCTTCATCTCGGGTATCACCAATGGCCAACCCATGGAGAGCATCACAGTTCCACAACAAAGAGGAAGGCCAGGGTCTAGCCATGTAGCGAACTGGAAGGTCTAGCCAGCCATTGAGGGAACAGAAGTCTGGGTTAAGACTCTGTCCACAAGACTGATGTGTGCCGAGCAACCAGAGTCTCTCATACCGGGGGTGGGGATGACAAATGGCACCCAAACTCTGGAAAGCAGCGTCAGAGTTCCAATGAAGTTCAAAGAGCACTCTACACAAATGAGCCCAGCCATTTCTTTTCTAGATAGTAATCCACCTGAACTGAAAATGTAAGCATAAAAAAAAAAAAAAACCCTCCACATCATGCTCGTAACTGTCAAAACCTGTAAAGGGGACCCAGGTTAGGTTTCTAGCACCCTATGCCTGTAACTCCAGTTCCATGGGATCTGATGTCCTTATTTGGCCTCTAAAGATACCTGTCTGCATGTGGGACACATAAACTCACACATACGGGCACACACAAATATATATATATATATATATATATATTTAACTAAAAATCATGCTACTTTTTTTCTGTTTAAGAATTTTTTTAATTAATTAATTTATTTATTAAAGATTTCTGCCTCCTCCCCGCCACCGCCTCCCATTTCCCTCCCCCTCCCCGGGTCAAGTCCCCCTCCCTCATCAGCTCGAAGAGCAATCAGGGTTCCCTGATGTGTGGGAAGTCCAAGGACTGCCCACCTCCATCCAGGTCTAGTAAGGTGAGCATCCAAACTGCCTAGGCTCCCCCAAAGCCAGTACGTGCAGTAGGATCAAAATCCCAGTGCCATTGTTCTTGAGTTCTCAGTAGTCCTCATGCTACTTTTAATGACCACCGACTGGTAGATTTATTTATTCATTTGTGTCTGTGTGTTTGTGTGTTGTGAGGCCAGAAGTTGGCACTAGCTAGTTCCCACCACTCTCTGCCTGTTCCTTTTGAGGAAGGCACCCTCCTGAGTCAGGGTTTGAATTTTTTATCAGCTAGGCTGGAAACCAGAAAGCCCAGTGATCTTTCTATCTCTACCTATCTTGGAGCTGGGGTATAGGCACTGCTGGGATAACTGGCTTGATACATGGGTGCTGGATCCTAATTGTGGTCCTCATGACTGGAGTGTACCTGCTCTGAGCTTCTGAGCCCTCTTTAAAGCCCCCATATACTGGTCAATAAGCAAAGTATGACATGCTCCTATGAATTTCCTAAACACCACTTGACACACAAAAAGCCAGATGCAAAGACTATGTGCTATATGACACAAGCCATACACGTCCTAGAAGGGGCAAGAACTATAAGAAACGGTTGTTGGGTACCTGGGAGAAGACAATGCAAGAAGCAGGGGAGGATGCTGCGATCGAGAGGTTTCAGAAGCAGTGGTGTGCAGTCATGCAGCAATAAAGATTTGTCAAAACTCACAGAATTTTTCTTATAAAAGTTAAGATTTTTATACTTAGAAAGCCAAGGTAGGCAGATCTCTGAGTTCGAGGCCAGTGAGCTGCAGGAGTCTCAGTGAGACCCCGCCTCAAAAATAAATAAACTAACCAACCAACAACAACAACAAAAAGCAAAGTTTCTGCTTATTAATTTCATTTGATCTAGAGTTTCATCTGGAATCCCAGTTGGGATCCTTCTCTTTTGGAGCTTCTAATTTGTATAAGTTTTATATTCCCTTATCTGAAATATTTCTTCTATTTGAGATAATTAGAGAGATGTTTCCTGTGGTGTCATGTGGAGGACACAAAACACGTATCACAATAAATTTAATGGAATTTCTACCAAGAATCAAGAGGTATTAAGAGCTAATGTATAAGTGAGCACATCAAAAATAGGCGTGTCAGGCCAGGCGGTGGTGGCTCACACCTTTAATTCCAGCACTTGGGAGATAGAAGCAGGTGGATCTCTGAGTTCAAGGCCAGCTTGGTCTACGGAATGAGTTCCAGGACAGCCAGGGCGGCACAGAGAAAAAAGAATAGACATGTCATTTATACACCAGATAACAAAGAAGCGACTACAAATGTCCAAAAGATGACAAAGATTTCGAGAAGATGGAACACATGCTGAAAATTTAAAAAAACGGGGTATGGACATATTTTTCTTTTTGTACTTCAAAATTATGTGTACCAAGAAAAAAACACCGAGCGTCACGGAGACAAAAGGGAAGGGACATGTCTCTGGTTACACTGTCTCAGGTTACAGGTCACTTACTGTCATTTGGCAGTCACTTGGCTCTTTGAGTAAAAGGGTAGCCATGCAGCCTTCTATGCAGATCTTCCCTGGGAGAAAATGTGCATTTCCAGAAAACCAGAGAGAACTGCTCCCATCTCCTTAAAGACTATTGTTAGAAACCCCATTTTGGAAAAGAAACATTGTCAATATGTTTGGGATTCCCTCCAAAGTGGTAGCTGTTTCCTAAAGCTGCAGGGCTCAGAAGCGAGCATTTGGATTGTGTGGGTAGGTAAGTGGCTGACTTAGCAATATTTTCTAGAAAATCCACGGGCAGTCAAATCACCACCCAAGTGCTCCTGTGCCTTTTGCAAGAAAGAAAGGGGCAATCAAGTGGCGCTCTTCAGCTGTGCCATGGTCAATAAGTAATTTCAGAGAGCCGGAAGGAAACCAAAGTCAATGGAGCCTCTTCTGGAAGATAGCTTAGCTTTTGGAAATACACAAATATGCTTTGTTACTGGTGCTGTGAATGGCTGGCAATAAACCCAATCTGCCTGTGAAGGCCTCTCATCCTGTCCTGTAGGAGTAGCTCTATGTTACCTGGTTTAACTAGCCCCTAAACAGGACCCACATGGCATCCTGTGCCTTATTTCTTTAATGGTATCTTCTAAACAGGAGCACTTCCCCACAGTAATTGTCCCTTGCTAGAACAAGGAGGATAAAGTGAATGGAGATTCCACAATCCGCTGAACAACAGGGTTCATCTCACGAGTTTATGGCTTAAAACTGGACATCACCAAGAACTTCTCGGGTCATTATGTGACTGACTTACACTCTTGTTTGGTTTGGTTTTTTAAGACAGAGTTTCTCTGTGTAATAGTACCAGATGTCCTGGAACTAGAACTTGTGGACCAGGCTTGCTCCAGACTCATAGAGATCCACCTGCCTCTGCTTCCCGAGTGCTGAGATTAAAGGTGTGTGCCACCACCACCCGGGATTTTGCACTGTTAAAAGGGGGATGTTTGTAAGTTATCAAAAGGGACCAGCTTGGAAGCAGGGACCAGAAGTTGTCTCAGATGCTATCGGGGAATACCGGGGGGGGGGGAGGGGAGATACAGTTAGAACGACTCCTTTCTTCTATGTTGCAGCCCTAACTTGAACTCTAATCAATCCATGGAGCTTACTATGCCGTTTGAGGGCACCATAGGCAAGTTGTCGCAGACTATTCCTCCAAGAAGGAACTTGAAAGCAAGGCTCAAACAGTTTAGACAGGACATTGGGCTCACAGCCGCAGATCAAAACTTGCAAAGGAGATTTGAGGCCACTGACTTGCTTCCAAAATCTCAGTCAACTTTTAATTGTTCAGGGTTCAGTTCCTGGCTGGCTGGATTGGCAGGCCCTGTGTTCCTTCCTTGTGATCCTTTCTTGAAATCAGTCCCTTGCTGCTGATCATTTTCAGATCCCATTTGGAACAAAGAATAAATGCCAAGTAGAGATACTTGTAATATCACATTCAGACAACTGTTTCAAAGTTGAGATATGTATTTGCTTTGTCTGGGCATATATGGTCAGGCATTTTCCTGGCCTCTCCACTTTACAGATTTGTGATGTTCATTAATTTCATGGGAATCTAAAAGTCAAGGAATGAAAATGCAGCTAGACACACGTTGACATTCTGCCAAGAGCTGGTGGGGAACGAGACAGACAAAGATTTCTGTGTCAGCTAACTGGGCATGTACATCAGTCTTACCTTGGCCTTCCTAAGCAGCAGTAGTTTAAATGGGATATATTCTGGTTTTGATTCAACATTTGGATAATTTTTGTCTTTTAGCATTAGCACTGTAATTAAAACTGCATTTCTTTCCTTTTTAGTAGGAAAAGTGAATGTAGCTTGTAGATTAGCTTGGCATTGCAGGGAGTGTATTTTGTCTATAAAATATTCAGCTGCCAAACCCCATTAAAGAGATTCTAATAGGGGTTTCTTTCTTGGCCACCCCAGAAGTCTGATGCCCACTTTGCATACCTGTGCTGTGCCACCAGCAGACACAGATGACACTCCAACATTAGCAGTGTGGAGAAGATGGTAACAACAGAGCCGGCGTGCTAAAAGCCAGAGCCGATTATCACTATGTCCAGATCTGCTTCTGCTATAGCCCAGAGAAGTCAGCTCTGTCATGATTGACTTCCTAATTGTGGGCTCAGTGAAATGAGAGGTGCAACTGGTACAAATTACACCCACTTATTAAGATGGTGCCCCAGCCTATGTTGGTGAGTGGTTTTCAAACTAATTACTTTGGATGAAGCCTGCTAGAAGAGCCTGCCATTATGTGTAGCACATCAGGAAATAACTCATATAATTAGCAGGAGATTTTTTTCCCCCCTTCCTTTCATTTAAGAATCTAGTCAATATATCACAGCTACAACAAGCTTCCAAGAAGGTGTGGCAGCCAAATAACAAGGCATTTTATGGGTACTGGAAACCGTGCGTTATAATTATTTCAAAGACTGAAAATGGTCCTAATTTCAGAATCACCATCTACTATTCAAACAGTATTTATCACTACAGTTTAACATCAGCCTGCGTTCTTGGAAGGGCTTTCTCTCCTCTTTTACTTTGTAAGTGCTTTGTCACAGTTTGGGGTAGAGGCCTCTTGACAGCTCCAAGTTCTCACCACGCTCAAGTATATCAGATTGTTTATGATATTGATATTTAAAACATGCTATTTGCTTCCTTCTTTTTCTTATTGAAAATGTTTAAGAAATGTTTTGGGGGAGGGGGAGCTGGTTTGGCAGTTAAGAGCACTTACTGCTCTCCCAAAGGACCTGAGTTAGGTGCCAGCACCCATGTTGGGTGGCTTACAATCACTTGTAACTCCGGCTCCAGTGAATCTATTACCTCTGACTTCTATGGGCACCTTAAACACACACACACACACACACACACACACACACACACACACACAAAATTAAAAATTGTCAAAATAATGTTTTTTTTAAAAAGAGCTGTTTTGGTATTAGTGTTAGAGAGGTTCTGAATATCTAAATGGAACTATCCCCCTTAAATGTCAAGTTCCAACAATCATATATTATGAAGTCCTTCACTAGCCCCTAAACACATCCCCTTTGGTGGGTATCTGGGGTATGTGAAGTGCCTCCTCTTGCAGAAGGCTGACTCCATTATAGAGTACATGGTTCTTCTTCAGGAGTCTGTTTTGCATTGTAAATGCCTTTGCAAATTACTTGTGTAGCATTGGGATGATACCACATTTAAGCAATTTTGTAACACAAAACTAAGAAAATCTGGGTGATCTTTTAAACTGGGGTTGAGGGGTGGTCTATTGGTAGGCGGATCTAATCTCAGCTAGCTTATTAGAAATAGGGCTTCCTAGACCTCACCCTAGAACTACAGAATCAGTGTTGGATAAGGCCCTGGCTGGGTGTCTGGAGAAGCACTCTCTGAGTAGGGTACCACTTGTTAAATGCTTCCAAGCTAGGCCCCAGTTAAGGACATACTACACATCATCTTATTTAACACTTGCACCAAGCTTGGAAGGCAGAGAGTAATGCATCTATCTCACGAGGAAACTTACTTCTCTAGATTCAAACACAGACATCAGTGGTATCAAGGGAAAGCCAGCTCTGTCTTTCTCTGAGTGAAGGTAACAGGATCACTGCAAAAGTAGTATTTTACTGCGGGCCACAAATACATTTATACGCCATGATGTCTACCACTGTCAACAGTTTCCCATTGAACATTTAGGGAGGACAGTGACAAAAATATTCAAAGTATAATTACTACATTTTATACAAAATCATTGGGTTTTGCAGGCTGCAAAATGTAACTTCTCTCTTCTTGAGACTATAATTAGAAGCAGAGATACGTTTCCATAATCAAATTTAGGAAGGGAGGCAAAGTTTCATCTTTCATTTTGAGGCCCAAAACTGGAACAAAGAGCCAGCAAATTAAGCTAAGTCTAAAATGCAGTTTGATGGGAAGGGAGGTCTGGAGAGGAGCTGTCCATAATTCTAACAAGTCTAGTTGATGGAAGAATTTGGTGAGACAAGGTTCTATTCAGAAACTCTGTACACAGTATTGTACACAGTATTTGAAAGTGCTCTGTAGCACAAATAATAAAAACCCAGAGACAGATATTGGGGTTCAACCTGAAGATCAGAAAAGCAAAGCAGCCAGCCACTGACTCTTACCTCTATCTCATACCCAAAATGGTGAGATCCTGTCACCACGAATGCAGAAAACTCCACACCCCACACCGACACTGTATATTCCACTGAGTTCCTGTCTCTTCCCCCCTTATATTCCTCTCTCCATCCAGCCATATTGCTCCTGCCTCCACCTCCCTCGTGCTGGGATTAAAGGCATGTGATCCCAAGTGCTGGGGTCACCTTTGTGTGGACTCTGTTTCTCTTTTAGAAAGATTCAATCTTGTGTAGCCCAGGGTAGCCTTGAACTAACAGAAATATGTCTGCCTCTGTCTCCCAAATTTTGGGATTAAAGGTGTGTGCCACCACTCCCTGCCTGTATGGTCGACTAGTATGGCTACTTTGCCCTCTGATCTTCAGGCATGCTTTATTTATTAAAACACAAATAATATACCACTGTAGTTTTCAAAGGGTCCCAGAACCAGTAGCTTCCCTTCAATCTTCCAGATTCTCTTTGAAGTAAGCCATGTGCTCTGAAGTCAAAGTCTGGCTTTTGAGTAGGCAGGGGATAGTGGCCAAGAGGCAGGGATTGCAGGAGAAGAAGAGGTTAAGACACAGCCATTTGTCCACCCCAGGACAGTTCTGCTGACCCGTGGCTCCAATCTACGAAATCACCAGTGGTGGCTTGCCAGGGGAGCCCGCTTGCTGGGCTAATGGGGCCCAAAGCTCAAACCAGCCTGGAGTTCTGCGTGCTGCTGAATGCCTTCCAGCACTTGGCACCTGCAGCTGCTTGGGTGAACCATTCTCCCAACAGCTGTTCACCACAGGAGCTGCCCATCAGTGGGGACAGGGAGGCACTGAGGGGCTCCAGACAGCCCACACAGATGTAACTATACAGCGAGGGCTTTGCGGACACCAGACTGTCCAAGAACCACAGTGTTCAACGGCTAAGTGACTGGGAAGAAATTCCTCAGTGAATTGAGAGCCTGTGGGGAGGCTCACAGGACCACGACCTGGAGAGAGCCCCTTGGGTCTAAGCTGCTAGTAGTACTTTGGTTCTGTAGTGGGCTGTGAGGAAAACCTGGGCGGAGGGACTGCTTCAAAATCCTGGGGTAAGCTGAGCACGGTGGCTCATTTGCCTTTAATCCGAGCACTCTGGAGGGACAGGCAGGTGGATCTGTGAGTTCAAGGCTCGCCTGGTTCTACATAAACACTTTCAGGCCAGCCAGGGCTACACAGTGAGAGCCTATCTCCAAAAAAAAAAAAAAAAAAAAAAAAAAAAAAAAAAAAAAAAAAAAAAAAAAACAACAACAACAAGAAAACGGAACAAAACCAAACCGAAAACAACCAAACCAAAAACAAGACCAAAAACCATGGAGAGTTTTCCACAATGGCAGGCAGGTTAGTACACAGGCAGGGTGAACACGGATGAGATGGAAACCTCTGCCACCCGAGGAGTACGGGTGACCTCTAAGGGCCTGGCTAGAGAAACTTTGCTTCGAAATTATAATTCCTACTTTTTAAGTGTAATCTTTGCTTAGAATGATCCATTTTGCTTCTATATTTTAATTAATTAATTAATTTTTGAGACAAGTTCTTGCTATGCAATTGAGGCTGGCTTTGAACTCACAATTCTCCAGTCTCAGCCTCGCTAGAGTGGTGTTAAAGGTAGGTACCACCACGCTCTGCTAAGGTTTGTCACATTCAAAACACAGGCTGGATGTCTGGGTGGCCACGACTCACTCTTCTCAGGAATCATTGGGGGCACACAGATGCCTTCCAAATCCTGACAGAGTCACCTCTTCCTTGAGGCAGAGAATTGTCTTGGAGACCAACATGAAGGACACCAGGGGCACAGCGGGGCTTTTCTCCACTCCTCTCTACCCCTTTCTGTGCCTGTCCCCTGCCCCCCACTCTGGTCTTTGCATTCTATGTTGGGGCTCTGCTCTGAATTCGGGCCATCAGCTGGTGGCTTTCCTCGGGGGAAGTCATGTTGTGGGATGTCAATAATAGATGGCCAAGAGCAGTAGGAACCAGGAGAGGGGGCTGGGTTTTCCCAGCAAGCAGCAACAAGCAGAGAGACTGGCTTTCTGCAAGGCAAGGAGGAACTTGGGACCTAAGAGGTATGCATAGGTGAAGCCCCTTTGAGCTTCCCAGTGTTCACCAAGATACTCTTTCAAGTTAAACTCAGATGAATAATGACACAGAAAAGAGAGAAAGGAAAAAAAAAACAAGCAAGCGAGGCCTGCCCTGGCTTTGGTAACAACAGCTGTGGAGGCCTCCATTAATCGTGTACTGTTTGCTGGGCTGAAGCAGGTAGGGCAATTAGCTTGTAGGCAGCAGCTGAGGCCCTGTGTCCACAGCAGGGGGAGGGCACAGAGGGAGCGCCTCAGGGTCCGGGTGCAGTGGGATCCTCACGTCTCTTCCACACACATACCGGCTCTGGCAAAGCTTTATTTCATTGTTAAAGTATTAAGTGCTCCTCCCCCAGGGAGGGGTCCTCATGGCCAGAAGGAAGGTGGGTTTTATGAGAAGAACACAGGACATTCAAGCACAGAAATGGAGCATACTTGAAGATCTGAGAGTCCATGCTCCCATTTACCCTCATCTGCAAATGTTCCTGTCGCTTTCCCCTTCACTGTCTCACAGTGAATGAGGCTCATTTGTGGAAAATGCCCTTAGACACGTAAATAGGGCTGCATCTCAGTGCTCTGCAAGTCCTTTTTCTAGAACAAAGAACAAACGGCCTTCGCCTCTTCTGCAGCACCCTTTCAGCACCCAACTATAGATGCCACCCTTCCCTGCCTATGGACGCTGGGGAGCTTCCCACCCTACTGAGAGAGAATGGCATCCAAGGGGGCAACCCGACTGGTTCCCAGGATGAGAATACAGAGCAATGATATCTGTTTACCTAGAGGAACAGCAAGTATAGTTGCAGTCACCACCCTGGGAAGCAGAGGCTCTGAAGGTACCTGTTGGCCAAAAGCTGGGATCTGGTTCCCGAGGGGGAGGTCAGGTAGATGGCCAGGTCTCCCCTCCGAGGGTGCGTGATGGTGATGCGCACAACCACGTGCTCCAGGTAGTTGACATGATGGTTGGGATTATCCGAGCAGCCCGAGGCTTTGTAGATGGAGCGCACAGCGCTGTTGGGGCGAATGGTCCTGGCAGGAGAGAGAGACAGGGCGTGAACAAAACACGTGGCAGAAATAAGGTGAGCGGGCCTGGAGGCTTGAAATGAGAGTACAACACAGGCAGCAGCTGCTCACTGGATATTAAGGGACAGCATTGCCAGACACCCAGATGACTGGGCCATCTAAAGGGAAAGATGCAAGTGATGGGGAGCCAAAGGTCTTTTGTCTGTAGTATGTGCTGGGTAAATAAATACTGATTAACTTTCCCCTCCCCTTCATTTTTGCTTTCTCACTCTGTGCCATGAAAGAGGTGAATGGGGAAAAATTTAAATCCAAACCAAACAAAACCAAACCATAACTTTGTCCCATTTTCAGTGCTTACTAACATAGTTCTACTACTAACATAGGATTACAAGGCTGTATGTTCATCACCAACCAGAAACATAGTTCACGAAGTTTTCCTTCAGAGGCTTCTGAGGATAAAGCCAAGAACTCGAGAAAGGCCCCTGAGATGAATACAGTTCTTTGGATCAAGTACCTGGCAGTGACTTCACATAGCCCCGGGTACTGCAAAGGCACTGAGTGCGTGCAGCTCACACTGGAGAATGAGCCCCACAGCTCTGAGGGATGTACAATAGCATTTGCTATCTATTTTACAAGACTCTCCAGCGAACTACGTGGGTGACTTTGAGGAACATAAAGACCTGAAGAATTCTTGCTCCATCAATCAAGGACACTGACAAGCAGGAAATGTAGGACAGCCCACTAATACAGGGCTTCCCCTGGAAGGATGGCTGGGTAGAACATTCTATCTCGATTTTATAACTACACTAGAAACTACAGAAGCATCTGGCTTCCATGTTCAAGAGCACTTGCGCTGGCCTCGTTCTGGGCATTGTCAGGCTGCTGGCAGGTAGCAAGCATTACTTGATTTGCCGGTCCGTGCTCTCCACACACACGTGCTGCTGAGGAACAGTTGTCCACTTCTCTGCCTCCATCACCATGGCTTCCGCATCCATCAGTCCAAATCCATAGAGATGGCTCACTGTGGAAGGCAAGAGGCAGGTCAGCTTTACTGTGGCCAGATCAACCTCTACCCACATTACCTCACTGTGCCATTCAATAGAGACCCCAGACATAACCCGAGGCTATCCTGACTATCTTTCCAACAAGACTTGAAAAGTAAACCAAATAATCACAACATAATCGTTCATCGATTCTGCATTATTACTAGCAATACGATGGTCATTCATGACGCGTTCCCATATGGTAGGCCCTAGTCTACATTTTATATTTAGTCCTCTCAACAATCTGAAGATGCCATCACTCGCGGATGGAGAAACGGAGGCACAGAGAGGCACGTGCCCAAGGAGACCAGTGAGTCAGCGGTTGAGCTGTATTCCAACCCATACGATTTCGATGCAAGATTTTACTGATAACCATTTGTATTAAAAATGATGACATTATTGATTTTGTGAGATAAAATTACTACTAGCTTTAAAGGAAAGTGGTAATGTACACAATTTCTCAGTGTAAGTAGAGCTCACATGCGAGAAATAGCGATTTTCTGACATATCTAGTAATTAGGTTAAATACCCCCAAAGGCATGAATTATTATCTTTCTTTTAGCATATAAAAATGCACTCAATTATATGCATAAAATATTTGGAAGCGTCTAGACTTTTATACCTGCTTCTTGTCTTCAAAGCCTCCATTAGTTTTCAGTTAAACTATGAGCTGATCTAGACCTGCACTTGATGTAGCGGTCTCCAAAAAAATCAAATGCAGAATTATTTTACTGACGGCACAGCAAGCCTACATATTCACTTCCTTCTAAAATACTCCGAGATCCGCGCTGAATACCCAAAATCTTATTATATCTTATATATATAAGATTCTTATTATTATATCTTACATGTAAGGTATAAGATATATTATATCCACATTTATATCGTTAGAGTCAACACAGAGTTAAACTTATAACTGATTTGCCTAAAACATTTTTTAATTATTGCATTAACTGTTTTATGCAAAAATCCCATAGCTGCCCATGTCTACGGGTTATTTAATATTCATATTTCTCTAGGATACCCGGCTGTGCAGATGTGAAAGCAACCTTTCCACTGATCCTTTGCTCCAGAGAAGGTCCTTTGTTCCAGTGTCTGGGGAAATCTTGGACCCTCAGCCTTACTGATTTTTCCCATATGAATCCCTTGCTCTAACTGTCCTAATTCCTTTTTTGAATGAAACCCCGTCTACTCTGAGCTCCCAAACACCTAGCTGGTCCATATACTTCCTAAAGTATTATCAGATCAATAAAAAGCCAATGGATTTACTGAAATTCGACCAATGCTGTCCATCAGTCTTCTTTGTAGTCCTATAAATTGTGAGCCCATCTGCTCTTTTGCTCATCACTCTGCCCTTCCTCCATCCCTCGACCCCTCTGTCCCTCCTCCATCCCCTGGGGTCTCTGTGTGACAGACACTGCACAAGGCAGACGGCTTTAAAGCTGTGTCACTAACTGAACTGATAATTGACTCATCAGTCATGCGTCCTTATACTCCAGCTTCATTATAAAATGTTTGATGGAGGAAGTGGCTTGATACTCCTTTACAGGGTTCGTGGGAACTTTGGAAATTGGAGCACGTGAAAAAAAAACATTGTACAAGAACACAGTGACAGTTTTCTTCATGCTGTTTGATAATTGTATAATATTTAACAAGCAAAAGAAAATATTTTTCCCATAATTTTCTTGTTTAAGGAAATTATGATGGATCCTGTCATGGTTCATTGAGTAGGATTATATCTCCCAGGTGAAAAAAACCTATACATTATTTTGTTATCAAGTGCTGAGCTAGCTAGGCCATACTGAAAATATATAAATAAATTTACTTTTCTATGGCAAGGATACATATAGGCAATTCTAATATATATAGCTTACAACCTTTATTATTTATGTTTTTTCTTAAAATGTTTTTCTTAATTAAAAAGTAAGTTCAGCTCCTGAGTAAATTGGGAGAGTGGAAGGGGAGAAGGTAGGAAGGAAGGGGACTGGGGGAAAACATATAGCATATTCCTATTGAAACAAAATGAGAAAGAAAAAAGGCAGTGTGATCACAAAAAAAAAGCTAAGTTCACTGCAAAATATCTTAAGTATACTGGGGAAAACTTACAAGTAAACGAAGTCATTAGTAACCTAAAAAAAACTGGTCTATGAATAATTCTGATATTTTGCTGCAGTTACATAACGTTATTAAAAACAGAAAGAGGAATATTGAACATGAGAGAAATACCAAGTGGGAATGCATGTGAAGAACGAGGGCAGGGAGGGTGGAGAAGGGGAGGTAAAGAGCTAACAGGAGAACTTAAAATTCTAGTATTCTAGTCCTCAGTCAGGGACTACAGTTTACACTAACCTCTAATGTGTTTTATAAGGGCGAGGGCATCCAGACTCTCCAAACAAAAGGATGATAAGGAGACAGAAGAATCTAAATTATCCCGATTTGAGTCATACTCATATTCATGTATTAAAATGCTACACTCTTCCCATAAATATAAATATGGACAATTATTACTGCAGGCTCATCAACAAGGTTTTTTTTTTTTTTTGAAAGGACTCTAAAAGAAAGTCAAGGAAATGGAGTGATGGAAGTCTTTAGTGAATTCTCCCTTCTATAACCATCACCCACAAGCCCAATATCATTTTATTACACATATTCAATAGTGTTTATCCCCCCTAAGTTTAGTCTAGTATTCCCCCAATCTACTGGTTTTAAACTAGCACAACTATCATTTCACTTCAGTTCAGTAATAAGGTTGAAGACTTGGTTGGTGACCTCTGGAAGGTCACTTCAGCCCCTGAAGCATCTCTAAAGGAGAACACTGGAGCCTAGTTCAGCTCCATTGACTCTGTTCCTGCGTCTCCATCCCCCCACCCCATAACAGGTCAGCTAACACTGTCTATTCATGAAGCACTCAAACCCGATGTAAAGGAAGGAGGCCGAGGAGCCACAGTTTAACAGAAGAAAACATTAGACTAGAGTCCATAAACGTGAAAACATGGATAGACAAAATTGTTGAGTTCGTAATGGAGATTTTTAATATTTGGAAATACTCAGAATTGTGCATCTGTCTATAGAAGTGGGACACAGCTGAAGAAAAATATGATGTCAATTATTCTATCTGTTAATTTTTCTTGTTGGCAATGCATCAACTCCATGTAGCTCGATAGGCCGTTATCTGTTTTGTTGGTAAATACTGATGAGGGACAGTGAATGCATTAGACAGACAGACTGTTTCCAAATGTGCTGTCAGGAGGGGAAAATAATAACACTGAGTAGCTTGGGAGCAACAATGATTTTTTTTTTTAAAAATATAATGTAAAAATTTCATACTCAAAATCACCTCACATGCAAAAATACTGATTTTGTTTTTCTACCACTGTGAGTTCGTTTGCCTGCCTATCCCCACTCACGAACCTCAGAACTGCAGGGTGCAGCCTCCAGCTGGCTACAGGGTGTCTGGTCTATGTAAACACTTACGGGCTGGAGGAGCAGAGCAGGCATGAAGTCATTTATTCACTAGAGGCGTGGTGTCTTATTAGAAAACTATGATAGGAATGAAGAAGTTGGGTTCTTCCCCTCTGACTTTTTTGAAGTTATCAATAACATTGGAAATTTACTTACGAGTCAATGTACACAGTTTATGAATTGCCCGTGGTGGCATCGCGCACACAGCTGGCCGTGGCAGGGCTATTCTATCGCTAAGGGACACTTATTTAGCATATATCTCGTGCCTGAAAGTAATTTCACCAGATCAAGGAGAATTCACCTGTGCGACATACATAACTTTTGTAACCAGGGTATTATTGACATGGATACAATTAGGGATCTCAACCACAAACTTCCATGCCTAAGAGCAGGGCTAGCAAAGATCCACTCCCAACACAGCAATAGATAATAGTCAAAAAATAATTCTAAAGTGACTGAGGGAATAAGACATGTGCAGAAAAGTCCTTGACAATCTTGAAGCAAAGTTGCCTAAGCAGATACCCGAGAACAAATGCATTTCTTGGTAGAGCGAGGAAGGGCTAGCTCCACTCCAGCATGCGGGGGAGACAGGAGGTGAATAACTTGCATCACTTGCAGGCGTCCCTTTGGACTGCGCGCCCATTTCTGTCGTTGTATGTGAGAGGCAGCAATGGAGACCTCATAAGAAGGCCTCTCGCAAGCAGCTCAGCTCACTAGAAGTGGCACTGTCCTGTTCTGGAAGCATAATGAGTTTTAATTCAAAGTTATCTAAAGGCTTACTGGCTTCGCACGGTCATATGGACAAGAGAAGTGAGGAAGATTGATAATTCTCTCTGGCAGGTGTATTTCCATTTTCTGATGGGACCAGAAGTGCTGAGAGAAGCTAATCACTGAGCACGCAAGTAAGCGATCATGTGAGCTGAAAGCAGATTCTGCTAATTTAAGAAACGGCTTTAGACAGCGGTCTACAAAAGCAGACCTCAAAGAAAGTTAGGCAGTTCAGCAGGGAGGAAAAAGAAATGATGTTTCTGAGCACAAGAGGCACAATATATATATATATATATATTTTGCAAGCAGTTTTTTGGTAAGTTTTTGAGCTTTCTGAAGTGACTAAGGGCCTTTCTGCTACCAGCTGTCAGATGTGCAAAATGCTTGATGGTATCCAGTGCTAACATGTTTGAGCGCATGCACACACGCAGAGCAAACATCCAACATACAGGCATTCCAAATATGAGCTTGGAAGAAATATGATCATTTACCTGTGATTGACGGGGAGTACAAATAGAGTGAGTGGCATTTATCATAAATGCCTTTGAAATCTAACAGGAAGGTCCAGCGGACAGTTTCCGGTGAAGCCAGAGAGGACTCTCTCCAGACAGGGCTCCGAAGAGACTAAGTGTCCACGTTTGCCTAGGTTTCATTCATTCCTTCATTTCTTTTTTATTTACTTCTGAGACAGCATTTCTTTGTTTAGCCCTGGCTGTCCTGACACTTGCTCTGTAGACCAGAGTGGCCT